GAAATGGCTGCGTCAAGGTAGGTTTGAGGGAAATTTTGAGTCGCTGGACCTTGCAGAATTTGCTAAAAAGCAACCATGATGGCGCAAACTGTTTGGGCAGGAGTCTGGGCCTTCAGCTGAAAAGTATAGCGTGGCAACGCAGCTGTTAATTGGAGGTGTCACTGGATGGTGCACTGGTTTCATCTTCCAGAAGGTTGGAAAATTGGCTGCAACAACTGTGGGAGGCGGATTTTTTCTCCTTCAGCTTGCAAACTATACTGGGTACATTAAAGTTGATTGGCAGCGAGTAGAAAAGGACATGAAAAAAACCAAAGAACAGCTGAAGATTCGTAAGAGCAACCAAATACCAACTGAGGTCAAGAGTAAAGCTGAGGAGGTTGTGTCATTTGTGAAGAAGAATGTTCTAGTGACTGGAGGATTTTTTGGAGGCTTTTCGCTTGGCATGGCATCCTAAGGAAGATAACTTCACTTCCATTGTTCTGATTTTTTTCTAATCAGCACCCTCTACACTCCATCACAGGACATCAAGTCTCTGGTGTTCTCCCATGCCTTCCTCCCTATTGTGTCAAACCTGAATTGGCTTCTATAGGCATCTGTTGGTGCAAGTTAATACAGGCCCTACCTGCTGTGAACTTGATGGTGATGGAAGAGACATTAGACATTAGCTCTCCTCCCAGTATACTCCCCACTTGGTCAATCGTCAGCAAAAATGTCCTTTCCCTTATAAAATACCAGAATACATTGCAAGATCATTTGCCATGAATGGGTCCTCAAAGGTTGTCCCACACTTGATTTGGAAAAGAAGCAGATAGTTACCTTATGTGCTGCATGAGAAGGAACTGAATACATTTGCCTTTAAGCATGAAAGATTTTGGTATCTTGGTGTGTATTTTTATTTCTAGTTGGTTTTAGATTACTGAAAGAGAAGCTATTTAAACCTGTTATAATTATTCTGACAAAAAAAGGCAGTCTAAGAAGGATAAATGACAGAAATCTGAATATGAAATGAACTTATGCTAAAGGTTATATGCTGTACTGAAGGTATTGTATTTGGTAGGAAGATCTCTTAGGGAAACCAGCTGTTAGAAATACATTGTTGGGTGGTCAGAGAAATCATTTAGGAACATTAATATACTATTCAGGAATATTTTCCACCGTATCAGATAATGTATTTCATGGCTATTTCCAAAGATTTGATTTATGGTAAAATGAATGAGTTAGATAGGAGAAGGAAGAAGCTCTTGGATTTTTATTTCATAGAAAAGGCTTTGTGCCTTGAAATGTGAAGTATTATTCCTGTGTCACAGCATTAGGGGTAGCCATAGATCCTCATTGTCAATTCTGTTTCTTTATCCAGTTTGTATGAAATGCAGCATTTAATCCAGAATTTTATTTTATTTATTTATTTTTTGTTGATTTTTTAAAAAATAAATGACAGTGGAATGCATTACAATTCTTAAAACAGTAGGGCTGGGATTGTGGCTCAGTGGTAAAGTACTCAATTAGCATGGGAGGGGCCCGGGTTTGAGTCTCAATACCACATAAAAATAAAGGCATTGTGTTGTGTCCATCTACAAAAAAGATTCTCTCTCTCTCCTTTAAAAAAATTTTTTGAAATGTAAAATATGGAAGCACATATAATGCTTAGCTGTTTTTTTTTTTTTTTTTTTTTCTCTTCTTTGTGCCTCTGTTTTCCCTTCTCCTTCCTCTCCCATTTTTTTTTGGTGGTACTGCCAATTGAACCAAAGGGTACTCTACCACTGAGTTACATCCCCTGGCCCTCTTCCTTTCTCCCTTTTTCCCTCCCTCCCTCTTTGCTTTTTCTTCCTTCCTTTCTTTCTTGACAGTGCTTTGCTCAGTTGCCAAGGCTGACCTCAAACTTTCAGTCCTTCTGCCTCAGCCCCTCAAGTCGCTATAGCTACAGGCAATACTTATTAGCTTTTTACATTTAGTTTTGGAGTTGTACCATCAAACAAAAACAAGCCAGGTGCACATCTGTAATCCCAGCAGCTCAGGATATTGAGGCAGGAGGATCTCAAGTTCAAAGCCAGTTTCAACAATTTATTGAGGCCTTGTCTCTAAATAAAACAAAAAGGGATGGGGATGTGGCTTGGTGAAGTGCCCCTGGATTCAATCCCCGGTACCAAACAAACATTAACAAAAAAAGCTAGACTGCTTTTAAAATAGAAAAGGTTAAACGTGTTTTCATTTGACTTCATTCCTCAGTAGCTACATTGGCAAAGTATGCAGGCTTCATCAGACCTGATTCCCACTGGTTGCTCTGAAATAGAGCCATTTGCCTAAGTCTTACTTTCCTTATTCCAGGAAATGCAGCCACAACACTTGCTGGCTTCTTAAAAAGAATGATATAATGCAACATATATTGAAGAACAGTTCTGACACAGAACAGCAGTATATAAATGTTGACTCCCTTCTCCATGCAGCTGGATCAGAACAAATAATGCAATACGAAAAGGCAGGGAAGGAATTAAAAGAATTAAAAGTACTTGTTAGCTTTTATTTAGAAAACTATGGCAGTGGGTAATAGGAGCCACTTGTACTTTAAATGTTCTCTTTGAAAATTCATCTTCTCTCTGATGAAGGGAGATGGGCCATACCTACCTCTGCTTCTCCACAATTTATTAACTGGGACTAGAGACAAAATGAGAAGAGGTAGTTTCAACCTAATTATGTTTGAAGAACTAAGTCATATTAATATTTTTATTTTCTACATTAAAATAGTGTTTTGACATCTTTAGGGGGCCTTGCTGGCTGGGAAGTGTCTTACCCAGTGTCTTCCCCTCCCAGGGGAATTCCTCAGTGCCGCAGGAATCAGTTTGTCAGAGTTTGTCAGTGAGCTGTGTCTCATGTATAAACCAATAGACTGTAAAATACCTCCAACCACCTCCTTTATCTAACTCTTACATACCAAGTCAATATTTCCCCTGCTGTAAATCATCACAGGGCCAGGTACAAGCACTTGAGAGCAGCCCCAGCCACCAGATTTCGCCATTAATTATTCAAACTAGCCAACCCTAATCTGTTTACCGAATTCCGCCTTTCTGGAGGAAACCAACTAAAGACAGGCCTCCACTTTCCCCTTGCTCCTTTCTGTCTCCTAATGGACATACTGGTACTTACTCCAGTGACCCTGGCCATTCCCATCATTTTAAAGGAAATATGAATAAAAAAAAAAATTTTTTTTTCAGTTATGGGAATTGAACCCAGGGCCTTGGGTATGCTAAGCAAGGCACTGGACTACATCACCGAGCTACATCCCAAGCCCTTAAACTTTTTCTGAGATGGGGTATATGCCCAGACTGGCCTCAAATTCCTGATCTGAAGCTATCTTTCTGCCTCAACCTGCTGGGTAGCTGGGATTACAGGTGCATGTCACTATGTCCAGATACAGTAAATTTTCAGCCTGGGAGTGTAGTTCAGCAATAGATGACTTGCCTAAGCCCTGGATTCAATCCCCAGCACTGCAAAAAAAGAAAAAAAAAAAGTAAAATTTTCTTTCAAAAGCATTGACCTCTCCATATCACCACAAAGTGACCTTTATAAATGAAGATACAGGCCCAAATCACTTGTTCGTTTTTGTATTGTAGTACCATGCTTGGCACAAAGGTGCTTAAAGTTTCTTAATAAATAAAAATACCAATTCTGGTTTT